TATATATATATATATATAATTTAAATCTGTGGCCAATGTTAGCAACAAGCCTGAAGCTTCTCATTTAAAATAATTTTAACTGGAGAATTTTGTCATATTCTAGTAAACAACTTCAGGCAAAATAACTTTCAGTAAATCATGTCATCACAGATTCTTTTGTGACCATAAGTTATCAAGTATCAAAGACATAAATTTTTCTTAAAGACATAATTTATTATTACAGTAACGATGACATTGATTCATTCATTTTTATGAACTGATTCACATTTTAAGCAGTTATAATCGATTATTAATGTATTCTGAATTAACTGTTTCATCTCTACCAAATATAAAGTAGTGTGACAGTCAAGTGTTATTGCTGTGAGGTTTCATAATAATCTGCAAAAATCTACAAATTAAGAAGTAAAAAAAGAAAACAATTGTGACAAAGACAAAATTTGACCAGAGCCATTACCGTTCTTGTCTGATAATTAGGATTTATGAGGTTTACAAGAAAAGAAAAGAAAAAAAAAAACAACAAATCAAAATCAATGTGCAGGAGCAATGTAAGAAAGATACAGTGCAGTGTGTATGCCCTCAGTGAAGAATAAAATTAATTTATGAGCTTAGTGTCATAAAAGTTAAATAAACAGAAAAACTAAGCTTTGTACTTGTTTGTATGTGTAGTTTATTGGCAAAGGGTGGGTCAGAGGAGTTTCTGTTGTAGCCCAGATAGATAAGAAGTGAAAGTGACGGACACGTGTTACTCACACACGAGGGAAAAGAGAGACACGGTAGGACAAACACAGCTCGAAAATAAAATGTTGTAATGATGTTAGAGCACTTTTTTCTTTAAAACAGAAAATATCGCAGTGGATCTTAAATATACTTGTATGTTCCCACTTGTAAACGAAGCTTTTCCAGCTTTAGATATCATCAGGAAACTACACTTGTTGCTGACAATTTGTTCAAGGTTGTGACAGTGTTTATTAAAATCAACAAGATCTGATTGTATTAGCTTTACAAGTTGAACTAAATCAAGAAAACCAGTGACAAACTTTAGAGCAAGTTTTAATAAATGCTGGTGTTTGAGCAGTTTTTCATCAAAACTTGAAAATTCATATTGAGCGAAATATATGACTTTTTTCATAGTTTTTTTGCCCTCTAATGATTGACTCAATGTTTTTTTTTTATGCAAACAGTGTGTTTTAACAAAGGGACAATAATAA